TTCGGTAAAGCTTATATATTGTGTAGGTGCGCATGTATGATTTGGAGGACTTTTCTTGTAATCTCTCCTAATATGGAACATGTTTGGTTGGTTTGACTAACTACCATTTGACAAACTACTTGATCATTTTGTTGCTTTTAAAACTGATGGAGATATCTCTCTTAAAAAAACTGGATTTATCAGACATAAATAGCCAGTGTGTGTCTCCATTAATGGCTTTTCAAATTTTTTAATAAAACCTTGTGTGGCAAATACTTATTGTTTACTAAGTGTTGTAATGCTGTGACAAAAAACAAACTGTTGAGTTTATAATTGGTATCTCTTTGATTCAAGTCTCTGGTAAATCCAGATTTTTAACAAAAGGTGTCATGATCACTTTTAAAGTGACAAAGTGTTCCAAACCTAATATGGTTTGATATTTTTGCCAATCCTGTGCATGTAGCACTCTAGCTAGTCAAACATCAATAAATGTACAACACCACTATATCTCCATGTCTCTGGAGGCAGGCTACTAAAACTACTAAGCCACACAACTAAGCCTTTGTTCTCACATCAGCCGTTATATTTCCTTATGCAGTATTAATGAATCTTGATTTACATGTACTCTGCCTTTATAAAAGAATGACTTTTTATCAGCTGTGTAACTTGTATAGTAAGTTTGACACTGAATTGACATTAATTTCCTAAACATTAACATTTTATAGCAAAGTTTAGATATTGTGATATTTGTAAAATTATGTTACAATATTGCTATAGTAATTAGTATATGTATATCATGATATTTTGATAAAAGAAATGCCTTACAAATTAATTACATGTATAATGGGCAATTGTTTTAGTCGTGGGCATTTTATAAAGGATCATTTTTAAAAGAAGACATAATATTATACATGAAAACCTTGACCTGATCATCAGTATATTCAATATTTATAACTAAAACTCAGCATGGATGTATTTTAAGATGATTGACAATATTGACATTATTTATAGTTTTGAGTGTTGGATCAGACTATTTGTCTTGGTTTTATTATCAAATAATTGATTCAAGTATATTTTCAGTTTCATAGTATGGGAAGAAAAACTATTATTTATTATTGAAAAACCTTAATATCACCAGCACAAGTTTCAGATCCATCGATGTGATTAGAATTGCTGAAGGACAATATGATACAATATACATTGTGTTGATGTAGAGGAAAACAACATCCTGTAACATTGATTAATGATTATTCTATTACAATACATGTTACTAATGATAATGCTCACACAAATAGTGATTTTTGGTAGTTGAATTTTCATATATTTTCTGAATAATCATCATGCATGTATGCACATGTAGACTGGCATGGCATGCACTTGTGATATTCATAATACATGTACGTATACTGCACCTACTGTTAGTTAATCAAGTACAAATACATAACCGCCTTCATTAGCCCGGATTTAGCAGAGCAGGACATTAAACCCCATTTCATTATAAAACGAAAATCAAAACATTGTATATATTTTTTCATCTTATTGACCAACAATTTTTATTTGATTGTGTGAACAGTACTACATAAATTTATTTATGTGAACTTATATGTATATTAATGAGACATAATATTTGGTGATCTAAAAAATGCATAATCATATCCTGTATTGTGTACAATACTTGAGCTAAATATAACCATAATGTAACCATTTGAATGATTAATCCCTTGATGTAGATGACTATGAAGATTGATTCTGTTAGACTGGTGATTAAGTTAATTCACCTACATGTACATATACATGTATGTCCCAAAGGGAATTTTCTAAAATGGAAAATCAGTCCTACTTCTCTTATTTTAAGATTTTGTAAGTAGTAGTGAAATTTGATGTAATGATGTGTAACCATTTGGACAGTGTTGAACCTGACCATTGTAGATACAAAAGATCAATAGACTTAATCTTCTCATTTGACTTTTATAGGTCGAACATTGTATAAATAAATGTAATAGATTACTGTAGACCGCAAGACAACTCTATATTATGTATTAAAACTGTAGGCCTACTTTAGAGTAAAGATGATGTTTTTGCTAACTCCATCACAATTAAATCGAAGAATGCATTTTAACAAATCTATTTTTTTTGTGTGACATTCAAATACATGTAGCACAGATCACCATAACCACTCATGTGGCACTCAGAAATATTCTGTTTTGTTTTTATAATAGCTTTTGATTTTATTAGCAATACATGTGCATGCATTCAATTTAATAAAATTTAATGGTACAGTCATAGAATCATTGACACTTATGTTCAAATGATTTCTCCAAATCTCAAACTACCAATAGATATAGTACACATTACCCACAAATTATTTTACACTCACACACCTTGTAAAATGGTACCAAGACTTTAAATTTTGACTGAAAGTTTTCAATTATAAGAACTTTTATCTAGCTACTCTATCTATATCATGTACAATGGTGATACTCTACCTATAGATGATAAATCCTAATGAGCACTCAAAGACACATTATAATTTATAGAATATACTGTGAGTGAATAAACAGTGGACTTACTACATGTATATTATATGAGAAACTATCAAAATTCTCAACAAGGATGTAGTGTCAGGTCCTACAACTATAAAACCATATAAGATCTAGTGAATTAATGTAGGAACCATGTGTCAATGAAAAACATGGATGTGATAATGTCATTGATATGTATTAAAATTAGTCACTTATGAATAAATTTACATCTAAATAAGTGTTCTTTGTTCTGTCAGTTAAACCATGTACAAAATCCATCTAAAATATTATTTACTTATTATACAGCTAATATGAGTTTGTGTAAATAAATCGATGATATACCCAGCTTGATTTCATTATTATGGAAGAATTAAACTATTTAAAATAATTAGTTTATAGCTCTATTTATACATGTGCTAATCTTATACCTATTTGAGATTCGTGTTGACTACACTATTATATCAATAAGCCTGGTTCATGTATTTTGAAATAACATAATCCTTGTTGGTTCATACATGTTCATGAAATATCAATAATATGACAGGAATTAGTATAATGTGATTCAGTTTATTATCTTGTAATCTGCGTGTGTGTCTGTGTATTATATGTACATATATCTACATACATGTACTGTATGTATATTCAATACAGTAAGTTACATGTACATTACACACTGCTTAAAAGGATTTGTAGCTTGAAACAATTTTCCCAGATGTTACATTCAGTATTACAATGTGTCTTTTTGAAGTTATAATTCTATACTCATTTCTCTAGAGCACATTTGGGATTAATGTTTAATTATGATATAATATACTTGTCATCTCTAAATACAATTCATTATCATTCAGTAGTTTCAGTTAATTAAAAGGAAGCAAAAAAACATTTACATGTACATGTAGATTATAGGTATTATTGATAATCACACCAAAACTTGTTACAAATGAATTACAGATAACCTAAAATTTTATCATTTTATCTCCACCATTAATAATATTGTATTATTCTTTTTTTTTTCAGGATGAGTTTACCATATGATCTGTGAATGTAAAAATGTTGCTGTCTTTAAATGTTGGAAATATAGAATGAAGAAAAAAGAAGTGAAACCATGACCACCATGTTAATAATAGTATCAATATAAAAGTATCCAGACATTTTATTAATAGACATAGCTCCATCATAGAACAGTATATTGAATGAAAGCTTGTGCCTTCTTTTCAATTTAATTCACTTCTCCCAGTCATGAAATAGATGATATGTTTCCTATTATTTGAAAAGGAAAGGGATAATAAATAATTTATTTATTTTATGTAAGCTCATCACATGGCAGTTCTATTAAAATCAAGATTATCAAGTTTGTTTTATGGAGCAGAATTGGCTAATAAAGTGGAGAATGAAATGTGTTATGCCATGGATTATTCGCTTAGATTTAAAGTCGATATATGTTTACGTCTCACGAATTACAAATAATCTTTTAGTTGACAGAATGTATTGTCAGTATTAATGGGATCAATATATTTATTTCAACAAGCATGAAAAGGTCAACAAAAATTAATTCCTTCCTTTAAGATATGAATGTGCATAAAAATCTTATCTTCTGGCTGTGAAACCTTTTCAAATAAATTGTATTTGTTTAACAAGGAAGTCATTATACGATTGTCCTAACTGCCCTCAGTTCAACCAAATCTATTCTTAATAATAGTTTGAAAATCATTAATTATCACCTTTGAAAAACTGTGAACAACATTCCTCATAACATAATTGTTGTTGTCTTTTGTAAATTGTGGTTTAAAGAACACAATCTATATGTACATTACTTTCAAAAAATTAATTTGAAATCATTACCCAATTCATTAATGTGAATGCTGATATATGATATTCATACAAAAACAAGTTCTATAGATTTAATTAAATCTGCTATGTGAAAAAGATATGATCAACAAGCAACATTAATACATATTGGCTACAAAGTGTCTTATGATGTTTATCTCAGCCATTTAATCTATATGTAGTGTGTGTAGTGTATCAGTGAAATGATTATACTCAAACTGTGTTCATTTGGTTTAAAGAATGCACCAGCTATATCTTCCATCCCAGTGTAACTGGACCAGTTGTGCTAACAAAGAAAGTGTGGAGAATTTCTCTGGTGCTCATTTCTAGTCAATCAGGAAGGTTTGGTGCATTGAATTTTGATTGCCATATATTTCTAGTCCTGATGAGAGGTTTCATGATATTGGATCTTTGCGATACACAATATTTGAAATTGAACATTTGTTGTCGATTATTATTATTCCTGTTACATAAAATCTTTAAATAACTAGAATTAATTTGTGGAAATTTGACTTAAAGCATGATATAACTTATAAGCAAACACAATATCATCAAAACAATATAATGTTTTAGTAGATCTTTTCTGTGAAAGATCCTATTTCTGAAGTGTTCTCCCTTTAAAAAGACCCTGAGTACTATAGACAATTTCTTGATTGTTGACAGATATATTTTGCCCTGTTTAAAGAGACTGAACTATATTAAAGATATTTTTGTATCAAACGGGTAAACAGTTATCATTGAAGTCAATAAGGGAAATCAGGACTTTATTTAGATATTAACCTCAGGAATATTATGTGATTAATTAAAATGAAATTTGTGATTTACTGTATTATGATATAGAGCCTTACTTGATCTCATATTTATAGGATTATTCAGTGTGTACAATATATCTAAGCTAACTAATAACTAAACTACCAACTGGATGCAGTACTCTTTCCTGTCATTTCAAATGTGTGTAGGCTTATGTTAGTGTGTGGATGCTTATTCTACTGAGAAAGACCTTGTGGGTTATATACCATAGTAATTCAGCTGTACAAAAAGTGATAAACAAAGTAGGTTTATCTATTAACACAACAAATATTAATACTCATTCTTCAGTTAATATACTAAGTTCTAGTCTTAAAGGATCTTGCCAGTAAATGGCAGTGTTTTTCCTGTGATTAAATAAAAGTAGTATTTCCCTTGTGATTAGCGTGAAACTGATATTTATTCCGTTGTGTCTGTCAAGAGGATTTTAAAGCCAGTACTTGTGATGGTAATTAAGCTAAGTTATTGTTCACTTCATATCGACGTATGACTGAAACAGCCATAAAAATTGTGACAACAGAAAACGACCAATGGTGGCATATTTTGCTTTATTTCATTCTATATCTGTGTCCAGTTTGATTAATTGTGACTGTACATTCTTTGAATTTGAAACAAAATGTTTGAATATTACTGTGACAACGGCATTTTGTACAAGTAATAAATATTTACCTTAATGGAGATTTATTAGTGGAATTCTCAAATTACAGAAAATAATTTCAAGTGAAAATGTGAAATTTACAAGATTTTTTTAAAGAAATATTTACATTCAGTTTCATTCAAGTAACAATGGAAAATGTATTAAAAGAAAATGTGAAAAACAGTCCTATCAAAAAACGTAAAGATCGTGAAAATAAAAAGCTGAAAGAAAAGGATAAAATTTTGCCAACTATAACAGCTAATGATGTTCACAGGGAGCCTGGAGAGGTGGTGTTACTGGCTCCTGCTGGGAGAAAAGGTACAAAAGGGCGAGGGTCTGGTTATATCACAATGAACGAGGATCAGATTACGTCTTATACAAATGAAGAAGGGATTTCATTTAGAGTCAAAGGTATGTCATGAATAAATATTTGATTGATCTGATATAGCAGAGGAAAGTGACTTGAAGTAATTATTGATATTGATTACTTGTAATGTCAATAAATCACACTTTATTTTATAGTTTATCTTGAGTAGCTTGAACGGATACATATAAACCATAAACCAATACTATTACATCAACTAGTCACACCATGGACCTTACTGTGTGCTTGTATAATAACTTTGGGGGGGAGTTCATAAGGTCTGTCATTGATTCAAGTTTTGTGGTTTCGATTCGGTCCTGGTATGTGCCAAGGAATACAGTTTTCTGTCTAACTGTATGGGCTTACTTTGTCCAGGTTCTCTATTCTCCCCACTGATAAAGGCCCCATATCACAACTAAGTGTATTTTTGAAGTTGAAATAATGAAGTGCTATGTATTGTTAGTCCTGAAATAACCGTTTCTTCAGAGTTGCTGTTAAACTTCATTTCTCCCTCATATGTCATTAGTCACACATTATGTAATCACTCATGTCCGTCAGTCCGTCAAATTGCATGTTAACACATTATACATGTTTGCTACAATTTTTAACAGATTTTTTTTAAGCACTCTGAAACCTTTTATTTTGGAATTACCTTTGCGATAGAGGCTACAGTTTTTAACAGATTTTATTTTTCACATTTGGTGTGAAGCATTGGGGTCAAAAGGAGAAACCTTTCTCACCAGAGTTACCTCCCCTGTTTGTCTATAACCTTGCTAAAACGATAGAGCCTACAGTTTTTGACAGTTTTTTTTTTGTCTCAGATTTGTTGTGAAGCATTTGGACAATGATAGAGATTAGAATTTTTCTTGAAGTTATCCATATCAAATTTGGTCAGCATCCCACGTTTTCATTTTGATAAGCTTCTGCCTATGGCTATATTTTTTTCAAGACAAACCTGCTGTCTGGCTATATTTTGAAAACCGTACCCCCTCTCATTCCAGAATATTAAATCGGATGAATTACTCGGTTACATGCACCATACTATTTGTGCATATATGCTTATGAACCATTCCACTTTTTCAAGGTGCATCACCTATTTTAGAATGTCAGTAATGATAAACATAAAGTACACCGAAATTTAGCTCTTCACTCATATATAGTATCAGACACTGTCTTCATGTACATGTAAGCTCACACAAGTAGTCACTCCTGCTCATATTTTTGTCTTTTGGAAGTGGGTGCACCATTTTTTAACTGAAAATATTCTGTTTAAATACATGTATTAAATTATGTATTAAGGTAATGGTCTCTCTGTTTTTATGTTCTAATAACAGATAATTATGACAGCTACATGTAACAGATCAACTTTCAGAAGAACGCTTTAGATGCCGCCATTCAAGCACTATTTTTAATTAAGGAATATGTTAGTGATGTAATTAGTCATACCAAATCTGTCAATACGTTACATGTATTGTGTCCCCATGCTTAAAAATAGTGATATTTTTGGGAGTTATTTTGTGTGTTGATATGAACTGATACGGTAATTACTACCATTCCAATTGGCAGTTGCTAGTTCTGATTCCACCAGTGATGCTGTTTGTGCAATCTGTACATGTAGATTAGTATGTTGTTTGAATAAAGTTGTCTAAAAAGTTATTAAATCTTGACTCAAGTAGCGTCATTATGTATATTTTTAAAATCTAGAAATAGATGGACCATGTTGAAAAACATTTTGTATTGTGTGAAATCTTATTTTCAACAGTGATGTGTACATTTCTTTCAGATTGTGTATATATTGAAAATAAAAGACCTGATAATCCGTTCTTTATATGTGCTGTTACCCAGTTCCGTATGGTAAGTGTAGAGTTATTTGATTTTTTTTTTTTTCATTCTACTCCCTAAATCTCAAATATTTATTGTTACAGTTTTGTGGGATGAGAGTCTAATACAAAAAAAATATGAGTGTGCATGAATAATACCAATAATGATAAGATATAACCGATTTTGTGTTCCACTGTTGATACAGTAAATAGTATCAGATATGTCATAAGCAAGGAATCTAGAACAGCAATATATTTATTTTCATATTTTGATTATTCTCTGCCCTTTAGGTAGGTATTGGAGCTTTAAAAGACAATAATTTGATTTTCTAATAAAATCACTTAAAACACATACATTATAATGGTTTTTACAAGTATTAACAGCATTTTCTTATCTTATTAGTAATAAGTGAGTGTTTTATATACCAACCCTCAGGCTAAGATTTATAATGATTTAACTCCCAATCTCTCTTTCTCTATCTCAGCCTTGACATAAACACACAAACTTAATAACATCAAATCACTCAGGGAGTATCAGGTGAACCATCTGATATACTTTATGGTTATTGTTGTGAAAATTGGCATTGATCTCATTCAAGGGGTCAAAATCAATATCTGTAAGAATTACAGTACTTTCTTTGTCTTGCATGATTTTATTGGGAAAATATTTTATTCCTGTGTTCAACTTCCTTGTCATCAATTTGAATGAAACTATAATATTTTCAAATTATAATAAGTTTTCACAGGTTAACAGTGCACAGAATGTCCACACTACGTGTATATTACTGGTACATGTACATGGATTCATCCATTACCATAGATGTAATCATTACAACTACTTTCCCATATTAGCAATGTAATCAATTACCTGTTTCTTTATGGCTATGTAAATAACCTTACTTTTTCTTTGGCAAAATTAGACTAAAATTAGTCCTTTAATTTACAATCTATATGAACTGGCCGTATCAACATATGCACAAGTAAATTTTTGGGGCCATGGTGACAAAAGCTGTTCTTGTAACTGTATGGCTTTAAAAAATGAATTGAAAAAAAAAAGTTCGCTACATTTGATTTCAAATTATTTGATAAAATTCTTAATCAATATGAATAGTTTGTCTATTGTTATAAACATTGTGTAACTGGAAAATTATTGGATACTTGAAAACCACACGTCACCTTGAGGTTAAGATAGTTAAAAATATGACAATTATTGATTGATTGAATGCTCATTGCTCAATAGTACTAATCTGTTATTATAATCTCCAGCTATTGAGAATTCTTCTTTGTTTAAGTTTACATGTCCATAAAAGAGGTCCAAAATAAAAATTCAAAAGTTATTTTATTGTTCCTTGAGACTATTGTTTTTTAATCCTGAATCCTAATGTATCAGATTTGTGACTATAGAATTGAAAAGTAATTGAATTGAATAATTTTTATTGACCATTACTTATTTTAATTGTAATTTAATTAATTGCACTTCCATTAATAATTGCTTTTGAAATCTTCCATTATTCATTACATACATGTAACCATTTATACTACCAACCATATACAAGTAATACAATGTAATTACATTTCATCCTCTCTACACTAAGATAGAGGTTTTTATAAAAAGGACCAAACATATTTTAACTTGTGAAGAAAAGAAGCCCTTACCACTTGCCAAGTTAACCATAGCATATAACGGTATTTATATTACGGAACCATTTACACATATAAAAGAATTTCACACCCTCCCCATTTCCAATTATTGTAGGCGTATTATACATGTCATGCATATAGTATTACTGACTTTATATCTATCTGAACAGCATGGCACAAGAATAAAATATAGCATCATCAAATTAATATTTCAGAAATAAAATGTCACTAACTGTGTAATAGTACGTACTATGTAAGCTTTAAAGGGAAAATGCCAAAAAATTGGTATACTAATGTCAAAAGTACATGTACATGTAGTAAGGTGATTCAAAAAGACTATCAAAAGCTAAAGCACACAAACACAATTCTAAATAGAATCTAAAAATTGTCCTTTTGTTTAGCTATCAATACCAGGTTGTCTGGCTAACTTCAAAGAAAACAAATTATACCATGGAGATGGTCTGCTTGTTGAGTGAAGAACTGGTCAGTCCATAACAAATAAACATTATCTCCAGCTATTTTGTATAATGAAATGTATAATATAGGTGTAGAGAATTACACACTTTTAATAAAGATTTGGTCTCTGTGATGGTGCATCATATGATGCATGTGCAAAATTTAGAGAGATTTAGGAAACTGGAAAAATTGATTTCTCAGATCAATTTTTTCTAGTTTGAGTGAATATACATGTAAATTTATCTCGGTGAATTATTAGTTGATTGCATGTAAGATGAAATTTGTTTTGGATGAATCAAGACACAAAACTTTCAAGCAAGTACAAGTAACATTTTTAGGCATTTATGTATCTGCTCTTTAAGTGTTATTATTTTAGTGTTATGCAACATACACACAAAATCTAAAGTTAAAGTTTAAAAGATACTGTCATAGAGTATTTGATTGAGTAAAAAAAAGGCAATGGTTTATAACCAACAAGATAGAATGATTTAATAACGTTTATGAATGATAAAAATTTACATTAGTTTTTTCGACTAATAATGATGTATATATAGGAATACTGTCACAAAGCTAACTGAATAAATACTTGAGTGGAGAAAAACTGTCAGTATCATAAGTTTGCGAACTGACAGATGGTGGTAACTTTATTGATTTCAAGAAGGATAATTCACCAACCAAATAATGGAGAAATAACCATATTATCACTAACACTGATAAATTTGTGCTGTTAATTTGCCGCTAACGATCAGCACACATTGTGTATCCTTTTAGTGGTGTTAAGACTGATGATGTTGAATGAATAGCTTGAAGGGAATGAATTATATGTAAACAAAACCTGAGGGGGGTATAGAGGCCTATCATATATTAAATACATAGTACAGGTTCATCTAGATATTCAAGTTGATATATTTATGATGACTTATTATGATCATATTTTACAGTCTCAACAACAGTAATCACAGTGTTTAAATATATGACTTGCTAGATTTTCACAGCATGCAGTCATCATGCATGTTATCAAAAGTAGAATTGAACTAAGTAGCATCAAAGCGCAATTTTACACATGTGTAGGCTCTTTCTTGTGGACTACTATAATTTGGGACCAATTTCGTGAAATCTTATACATATAAATTTGATTGTATATTTTCGAAAAATTGATATGCAATGATCACCTTGGAAATTGTGAAGGTTGTATAATTAAACTACGAGTAAACTGTAACCTTTATCTTGTCATTGTATAGGGAATGAAGTAATTAATATACATGTAGACTCAATTTATTTTCATAAATATTACATTAGAAATACATTTTAGTCCAATGCATGATCGTTGATCACATTACTACAAGTGATTTATTTTTTAGCCTGTTACTGAATTTCATAGTATCTGTACAGTATTATACTTGCTCTGAGAAAAAAAATGCCCAACAATCCAAATGGATGGAACAGTGTTGGTCGGATGGGGTGGAGTATTTCCTTAATGCAGTTGGAAAATTAATTTAATAATATGTGGTTGCATGTATATATCAGATCCCTTTCATTGATTGCACCATTCCGATATCATATGATGAATTGTCTTTTCACTTGAATTTGGTTGTTCTAAATTTTAGACAAAGAGAGATACTTTAGTAGTGGATATAAAATGGTATTTTCGACATTCCGAGGTTCCATTCAGTGTTTATACCCTCCTAGTACAAGATCGAACGACCGAAAACAGTGAGTACATATTCGTTTTATTTTTTACCTTTTTCTGTCTTTTTTTCAAGACACTAAAACACATACGTGGACATTAAGTAAAGTGAGTATTGTTTAAAAATCAGGACCACAATAACAATTCACCAATATCAACAAGAATACAGATGTTTTAGGTCTGCAAGAATCTTCACCTAAATCAGATTCAGATGTTTTTACAAATTTCCATGCAGAAAATTATAAGGGTGGTTGGATGGTCGAATGGTTAGCATGTGCGCACAATATCAAAAAGGCTGTCATTGAGTCAAATAGCGTAGTTTCGATTCCCCTGTTGTTCGTGACAAGGATTAGGATCGCCTGTCCAACCTCGTGGATTTTCTCCAGGTCCTCCGGTTTTCTCCCACTGCTAAAGACACCTAACACATACAATTAATGTTTTAAAGGAATAGAATAGTTATTGTCCCGAGAGTTTAAATAAATTCAATTTGAAGGCTTTCACTTTTAAAATTAATAATGCATTATCTTAAATATTCAAGATTTAAATTATAACATGTAACTACTATAACCTGCACGGTTATAATATATATAATTGTATAAACAATGTTTCATTAATGCATGTTTGAATATATATATATATAGGTTACTATTTCACTTAATTAATGATAGATGGTCACAAAGTCCAGTGTAAAACATTGCTGTTCATGTAAAAGAACCCTTGACAGTTGCTGCTGTCCTGGCAAAATTTCTCTCATTCAGAACACACAGCATGGCATTTGTCTGACTTCATAGCCCTGATGGTGCAGATAAATATAATGTTATACCCCATTTCATCAGAAAAATGGATTGATTATCTTCAATCTAAAAAGGATTTGAGTCCCATTACAAATATATTACAAACATCATTAATGCATGTATATACATTTAAACACTAGAACTTCATGTATAGACATGATTTTTAACTACCCTATAGTGGTGATGTTGGTTTTCATGTCTTGATAATTGAGGTTCGTTTTATGGGATGTTTAAGCTTACTTGACAATGATTATAAAGAAAGATACAGTGTACACAAGGCTGTTTTGAGGTGTTGTATTGATTTTCTCTCTAGATCTGTCTCTGGTTTTTTATGGTTAAACCTGTAAAGAGGAGATAAGTTCAACTATAGACTGATATCTTTGTCTCATTACTTTACTTCAGTTTGAAGATGATTTTATCATCATTGATCTGGGGGAAAGATTGAAATAATCTATTGACTTCCCCCGTACACTGGGGACTTCATTCTAGTTCTGATGTTGAAGTCCACTGGCTACACCCATATTATATACAAATCTAATAATGATGATGGCCGATGATTTTTGTTTTCTGATCTATTTCTAAAAATAAATAATGGCCGATGTAAACTTTCAGAGAATTGTAACATTCTAGAGAGTCCTATGAGTGAACATCGTTAAAAAATGAAATAAAAATTTGCCACCTTATAGTTACAATTTTACATGTACTTATAGTGGAATCAGAACTTTGAAAAAGAAAATAAATATAATTACATGTAATGTAATATTCGAAATTGCCCTAGATGTTTGAAAATCTAAGCAATAGCCTATTTGTAGCGAAGGATTTTGATGACCACTGAAGTTCTGAAAACCATGATAAGTTATTATGTAAGTTTCTCAGCAACAAATGGTTAGATATTTCCCGCGATAAAAAAATATCTCCAAATATACCAGTTTCGTTAATTATGCTACAATATTTAAATATATATAATCAGTAAGCCTTAATTTCCCCGCATACATCGTTATATATAATCACTAAATAAACAGTCATGTTGCATTTAGGGACATGTAACCATTTTAAGTGCCTTGAATAGCATCATTTGCAAATATTTATGAGTGCAAAATATGTTAAATGCCCTTGGTTAAACCACTCTACTCATGGTTCTCCTGCTTATTCTATTAACAAGACTAATGAAATTGCAGATCTAAATGTTAATACTAAATATTTAAGCTGTGCCAAGAATCACCAACAATATTAAACCAGCTTAAACTGTGTTATCTGAATATTATTAATGGGAAGATTTTGTTTCACATGGTGTGAAATAAGGATGTTCGATATGTGGGTTTACTATAATCACTGAATATTTGGTGCCATTGAGATATTACGATACATTTAAAACTTATTTTCATTCAATTGAATTACAATTTATACTGCTTATGGCTCAAGTAGCTCTGCATCTGCGTGGCTTAAAATCTTTTTCTTTTCGGACATGTACTAAAAATTATAGATTTTTGAAAATCAATGGATGGGAATTTTTTACGGGTATCAGCTGTCGACTGTTCTATCTTGTGCCATCACTCTGTAAAGGGAGATAACACAGTCCATTAATGGATTATTACAATATCACATTGGTTCATTTATTGAGTGGGAATTGAGGATGACTAATTCACGTTAAGTGGCCACAAGGTTTTATAGGTGAAGGGTGATTCTGTTATTAGGTTGTAGCATTGAATGGTAAGTTATATAATTCTTGGTATAGTAGTTAATTTCTTTTATTGATGATATCGGTTAAACTAAGCCAATATACATGTATATACCATTTTAATTGAAATTTAAATTTGTATAAAGAAATTCGGTTTATTTTTATAAAAAATTTCAAAGAGGCCCCAAAACTTTGGGAGAGCTATGCTATTCATAGAACTTAATAAATCTGTGCTGTTCCTAGAACCTTGGTGAGCTGTGCCAGTTTTAGAACCTTTGATATACCTGTGTTATTCCTAGAACTTGAGATCTGTGCTAGTACTAGAACTTTGGAGATCTGTGCTATACCTTGAACTTTGGAAATCTGTGCTAGTCCTAGACCTTTGGAGATATGTGGTAGTTGGCAAAAGCTATAATATGTTTAAATTACGTATAATTATACGTACGTAGGGTCGCCTGCCCAGGCTGACCTTAAAAATATCTTTGTTTCACCAAACCCGACCCACAATCGAGGAGAAGGGTCGGTAGGTCGGGTTTTTTTTCAGATTTTCTTTTTTAAGAGCTAATTTGACAGCTTGATAATTTTCCGGGTGCAAACATTCGTCTTCTTTTATTGGCAAACAAATCAATGACATCGGGATTTTTCTTGATGCACGACTCGCACACAAATTGCGACAAACTCACGTTTGAAACTCCCTCAACACGTTTTTAACGATCGTGCGGGTTGTGCCTTTATTTTTCTCGAAAACGGATATTGAAAATATCGTCGTCATGTTTAAAACGACGCCCCACAGACATAGAGGCAGAATCATTTCGTGGGAATGGACGTGCTTTCGTCTGCAACCATTTTGTTGAGAAGCGACACCTATGACGCTTTCGTCTTGATCAACCAGTTTCAATAATGAATCAAACCATAGCCATAGTAAAGGGAAATAACTCTCGTGATATATTTCAGGTTGACACACAAAATAAAATAAAAAGATCGCGGAAAAGTGCAATAAAATAATTTAAGTCGGGGGTGGTTTTAGTTAGTCGGTCGCGTTAGGCGAAACAAAGATATTTTTAAGGTCAGCCCCACCCTCATGGATTTTCTCCGGGTCCTCCGATTTCCTCCCACTGCTAAAGACCCCTACGCGCAAGCGACTTATAGAAATGAAATTGAACCATGTGTTAGTCCATGTGTTAGTTTGTTTAGAGTGGACGTTATACCCCATTTCACTCTCTCTCTCTTTCCTCAATTCTTGTGAACTGCCCCATCAAATTTCCTGTGACTTTTCAACTAGGAGGAATTCTATTGAAATTGAGAGTTGCACTACAGTTTAAACATAGTTATTGACCTTTTCTCTGCAATTTTGCACATGGTCTTTAAGTAAAAAATAATGAGATTTTTTGTTTAAGCTGGTTGGAATTGTTCAGCTAGTTGGAAAAAAGGAAGATTATTAAGATACAGTGACATCCATTACTTTATAAGTAATTATTATCCCTGAAACTTGAAGGTCTCCCTTCAAGATGGCACATTTTACTTGGTGCATAAGACCTGTAGTAACAATTTGTAGTTTTCTCTTTGAATGTGTTCTTTATTGTAATTATACAATTATAACCTTACCAAATCATGCTTTCTAATTTTCTTGAGACATTCTTGCCTTTCTAACTCTTGACTTGTTTTGGCCTCATAGCTACTTATATATGTAGCTCTGCTGGTAATATGCACAAGACAGGGGATGCTTACTCTTACTCTACCTTGTCACTTGGTTTATCTATTAGAGAGATCTTCCATGCCAGTTACAAACCATTCTAGTTCAAAGCTTTCTATTCAGCTGTAAATTCAATGTATTCTGATACTGTTGTTCTGTTTGTGTGATATTCTGTCTTTCGGAGCAGATATTATATTTTAAGGTGATCTATCTACAAAAAAATTCAGACTAGTCATTAAAAATGATTTTATTTCTAGTATAAAACATGATGTAACATAAATACATGTATTTTGGGGTCAATTAGAATCACTGTGTAATAGAAAGCAGCTAATAGCTAACATACTCATATTCTAGTATTGATCGTAGAAGAGTAAGATCTAAAAAGGAACACCATCCTCACGGAGCTTCTGTTGTCATTTAAACTACAAATTAATACCACATAACAACTCTTACTTTCTATTCATCTCCGCTCGTCTCGTGATAAAAACCTTTTATAAACACAATACCCTCTTCTCATCTAACAGACAGTATATAATAGATAGTTATTGCATGGCTGGAAGACATTGTATTACTTCATTTCATTGTCCAGTTTTATATCTTCTTAGCAAAAGGGTAAAATGATTGATTAAAATGAGCTTGATTTGTTTTTCCTTATTAAATAATTTACGGAATTTGATATGGTTAAATTTTGTTTGGAAAATTTTCATCTATTAAACTATAAAAAAAAAAAAAAAATAGAAGAAGAGCATCGTGAAATATTCTTCTCTCATACAGTCATAAATGTAAAGTACATGTAAAGAACCATCGTCATTTTCTCCAAATATCAGAGTTTGAGTAGGTGTTTGGATCAAGGAGTTTGTG